AAAAAAAATTCTTCTATTTACAACTTTTGTGTAATCCCACAATTCATGCCAATCATCATTGCATTGAAACCCTTGCATCCACATTTGCATTACATCTGCATGACTTACATAAGAAAATTACATGCCTAATTGAACAGGATAATATTAATTATAGACTTCATGCTGAATTTAAATGACAATTTGAAACTTTTGAGGTTGGTAACTCAGTGATGGTGCGGATTCGTCTGGAAATTACATGCTAGAAGTGCGGGACTATTTAAAACAGTCAAGAAAATCAATGGCAATGCTTACATGATAGATCTGCCAGAAGAGTTCAACATTCATCCCTCTATTAACATAGAAGATTTAGTAACTTATGAGGGTCTAGAGATTAAACCCCAAATCCACTTCAAATTAAGCCTTGTGTGACCCCACCTATGAGAACCAAAGCCTACCTCCACTCGCAAATATTCCTAAAATACCTATAGTGGAAAAGGTTGACATGATTCTAAGTTATGACATTATTTTCACAAAAGAGGGTGGACGAAGAAGGTATCTGATAAGGTGGGGAGGTAAACCAAAGATAGAGGATTCATGGATTGATCGAGAGGAGTTGAAGAGCTTGGATCGAGACTCATTTATAGCTCTATAAGATTCCTTGAGACACTCACTCGACGGAATCGAGTTTTATCCCACCCGAGAAGAATGATGAGGACATCTACAGGAGATTCTAGCGCGAGAAGACATTGAAGATCTACAACTACACTCGCATCTTTTTATTTCTGATTGATGTATTATAATTTTATTATTTTAATATTCTTTTCATGTAACCATAAGGGGTAATTTGATCTTTTATCTTAATCTTAAATTGAGGCATATTTATAGCCTTCTTTTCCCTCTTATGAGGTTAATGAAGATTATTATAAAATTTTCTGTGTTTTGCTCTTGTGAGAGTTTGAGAGTTCTTGGAGAGAGCTTTGGGGAAGTCCCTTGGTGAAGGGCAACATAATACCCACCAACCTAGGAAGCGTCCAGGTTCGTGGTTCTTTTCTTCCCTATCTTCCTCTTCCCC